AGGGGCCGTGAAGGGGCCGCAAAGGGGCCGTGAAGGGGCCACGAAGGTGCCACGAAGGGGCCGCGAAGGGGCCGTGAAGGGGCTGCGAAGGGGCCGTGAAGGGGCCGTGAAGGGGCCATGAAGGTGCCACGAAGGGGCCGCGAAGGGAGGCCGCGAAGGGGCCACGAGGGGCCTGAAGGGGCCGCGAAGGGCCGTGAGAGGGGCCGTGAGAGGCCGTGAGAGGGGCCGCTACGGGGCCGTAGGGGAGCGCGACGGGCCACTAAGGGCAGGGGACGCGACGGGAGAGTAGGCACACGGGGCGCGACTCGGGCAGGGGCGAAGCGCGCTCCGGGCAGGAAAAAAAATCGATATTCGGTGGGCCCTAGGAAACGTTCCCACTAGGGAACCTGCTTTATACCATGTGAGAGAACGAGGACGAATGAACTAGCAAGCAGGTGGGTATAAGTAGGAAAACCTAAAAGTGTTGTACCCCATATTGTCTACCCCACTACAGCCTACACAGACTATAGCATATGAGTTTGACACTCAAACCCTGACAGCCTCCCCTAGCTACGTAATAGATGCTAACGGTACAAAGAAACGAGAGTTAAAACAAGGGACGGGGCACTAATTCGCTGATAGTGTGTTGACTGCCTATCGTTGAACAGTTCTGGTCCGTTCTGTGCACCGACGCTTGCCTACCTATCCAAATCAGTTGCGAATTATCTCAAACTCTGACAGCCTCCCCTAGCTAAGTAGTAGATGCTAACGGTACAAAGAAACGGGAGTTAAAACAAGGGACGGGGCACTAATTCGCTGATAGTGTGTTGACTGCCTATCGTTGAACAGTTCTGGTCCGTTCTGTGCACCGACGCTTGCCTACCTATCCAAATCAGTTGCGAATTATCTCAAACTCTGACAGCCTCCCCTAGCTAAGTAGTAGATGCTAACGGTACAAAGAAACAGGAGTTAAAACAAGGGAAGGGGCACTAATTCGCTGGTGTGTCGACTGCCTATCCTTGAACAGATCTGGTCCGTTCTGCACACTGACACTTCCCTACCTATCCAAATCAGTTGCGAATGATCTCAAACCCTGACAGCCTCACCTAGATATATAATAGAGGCTAATGGTAGAGAGATGCGTAGTTGCTATAGATATTTATACTAGAAGTTTGGGAAAGATTTAAATAAGTTAACATACATATTTATTATGTACATCTTCTGTATGTTTATATATAAATAATAAAACCAATCATGCAACATACATTTAGCATAGTTCATGTATGTCCGTTTTCTGCCCGCCGTGCGCCCCGAGGCGCGCGGCAGTTTTCTGCCTGCCGTGCGCCCCGAGGCGCGCGGCGGTTCTCTGCCCGCCGTGCGCCCCGAGGCGCGCGGCGGGTTTCTGCCCCGTCACTCCGCGCGTCGCCCCCGGGAGGCGCTGCGACGGGCGACGGGGACCCGCGCGTCGCCCCCTGTCGCCCGTCGCGGCCTGCGCGCGGCCCGTACAGCCTGCGCGCGGCCCGTACGGGCTGCGCCAGGCCAGGGCGCGCCTCAGGCCGCCCGCGCGCGGTTTGTACGGGCTGCGCCAGGCCCGTGGGCGCCCTGTTACCTCTTCCTCTGAGCTGCCCGCTCTCCCCCGTGCTTCTGACGGCGCCCCACCCCTGCTGCTGCCTGTTCTCCTGGATTAGGGTTTGGGGTGGGGGGTATGGGGGTGCAGCTTTTGTGTGCCGTCCCCTGCTCCTCCTCCTCCTCCGTCTCCCAGTGCTGCAGCTGCCGCTCAGGGGGGTGGACCTGTTGGAGCCGTCGGAGTGGTACTAAGGGGGGTGAAGGGGGAGTGGAGCTAGGGGTGAAGCAGGGGGTGTGCGTCAGGGGGAGTGGGACTGTTTGGGGAGGTTGAACGGAGGTTGCCGTCGTGTCGCCAGCAGCACCTGTAGTCCGGGGAGTTGCTCCGGTAGCCCAGTCGCAGCCAGCTGTGCCAGTCGCCCGTGGGTCCGTTGCTCGTCTGCCGCTACTTTTAGCTGCGGAGCCAGTTACTCCAGTAGTCCGGTGCGTTGTTCCGGTAGCCGCTGTGCCAGTGTGACTCCTGTTGCCTGTGTGTCTGCAGCTTCAGCCGTCGCCTCCTATCTCCTCTCCTCTCACTATCCCTCCTCCTCCTCACTTGCCCGTTGTGACTACCACTAGCTTTGCTCATAATTGTGAACTTTAAACTGTTGCTTCTTGTACTTGTGCTCAGAATGTGTGGTGACATTGTGATCCACCCTGAGCTTGTTCTGCTTTGCTTGCTCTGCTGATTACACCCCACTTTGGCTATGGGGGTGTGTCAGAATATTATTGTTCTCTAGCCTGCAGTGGGGTACTCTATAGCGAGTACAACCCCTTAGGGTTTCCTATATGTATCCTGCTGCTTTCTAGTGAACACCCTCTCTTCTTCATTCTAAACTTTCCTACTCCTAATCTTCACATATACTACGGTTCTTGCTTGGCTACGTACAAGAACAGAACGCAAGGTGCAAGTCTTCCTTGGGCTGACTCTCGGCAGCCGCTTTCCGTCACTGGTGTGTACCGACTCACAACGTGATTTTTTCCCTGTGGCTTGTTTCGTCAATCTTGCTTCTCCTGAACTTGAGTGCTCTCTTATCTCTATTGTTGTGCAGGATTTTCGTTGCAACGTTCTTGATACCGCCATCGCCTAAACTTAGATTAGTTTAGCTTGTTGGTTAGGTAGGATTTGAATGTATTTTACCATGTAATGTTGATTTTAAGTTTTTTTTCTGACTGTCGTAATTCGGCTGTGATAGCCCACCAGAGACCCTGGAGAACCAGTTGATGAATATCGTTGATAAGCGTAAGTGTTGATCCAGCTGGCATGAAACGTGCAGCAAAATCAAGTTAATTGTACTGATTTTATTTTACAGTTATCGTGCACTTGTTACCTTATGTTACCTGGTTACCGTATCGTGTAACAACGTTTCTCGAAGTGGTGCATCATGATTATTCTTTAGAGCCTATCTGGACTTGACTGTATACATTTGTATTCAGGTAACGAGTCATTTTTAAAACAGTTCAGGGTCGACTGACACAGTGACGCGCGTAGTGTTCCAATTCGGCGCTGCAATCACTCTGTATTGGTTTCGACCAATCAACACCTTCGCAATGACCCTTTCTCAAATTGAGGAACAAATCGCAGCTTACCATGCAATTTGCACACGCGGTGTTACCGTTTCGCTTGTGCATCCCGAAGTATCAGTCATTTCGCCGATCACACATTCGTTCCCACCTGTAAGTAACTTTGCAGAATGTTTACGTTCGAACGGCCCCAACCCTCACATCGCATGATTCTAGTATGTTCGCTAGTAACTGAAACGTTGATCTCTAGACACCTATCACAAAGTAACTAGGAATTAGCTTTGTGGTAGGTTTAGCTTCCCATCATTTTTGGGATGCTGCTGCTGCTGCTGCTGTTGTCATAACCACCCTGCTGGAGCTGTTGCTGCTGCTGCTGTTCGATGCGTTGGTAACGAGCTCTGGTTCCGTTTTCAAAGCCTGCTTTACCGCGAAAGGCAGCAGCGTCCACCAAATCGGAGCATGCAATATCGCGGAAAAAGGGCGTAGCCATGTGAATGCCACGATACGAAACACCCACGCCGACACAGCAGTCTAAGTAATCTCGAACTGCCACCATATCTGGGCTCACGTTGTACGAGAAGTTATACAGCCAGAACATCAGCAGAGAAAACGAGACGGTGGCGACTACAGTTAACACTGAGGCTCCCTTAGCGACGAAGCAGAGCAACGAGAGAAAGGGCGACCGGTAGGATAGACTGATCCTGGCAGACATCGCGGCCATGAAAGTTTGTGGCCAGCGCAGACAGCCCTCCAGAAAAAACAAATTTCGAGAAGTAGAGGGTGGTCTAAATCTACTATGCGTACAGAGCGGGGTCTTAGGGCGTGTAATTGTTTTCCGAACCAGCGGTCAGGACAGCCGTTGAGGAGGCGATTCATAGGGTATCCCTTCTCGCAGTAGCTCGCGTCGAGTTCTTTTCAATGACGGGTTTCGAGAAGAAGGGCGTACCGAGCGGGTTACTTACGTGCCGTTGGGACCGTTGGTTGGGAAAAAGAAAGTACACGCCCTAATAACGCGGCTCAGAACTGGCAAACCCGGTTGGTGTAGAGGCGTGCCGGGGATCTTTGGCCAATGCCAGGGGAATGGAGAGACTCGAATGCGAAATTCGTCCGGGGATGTGTACACGGTCGACTCTATAATCACATACAATGAAACTAGTAACATAAAAAGAAAACAATGACAACACCAAGGCCGCAATGGATACTATCCGAGACTTTATGAGCCTCAATAGTACACCATTTCCTAACTGTTACGAAGAGTAATATTTGATTATTACTGTGCACTCCGCACCGCAGCAAGAGAAGCATGCAGTATCGAGAACGAACACGAAGAGTCAGAATTGACTCGAAGCGTCAGACGGTTAAGGAGCATCTGGACCGTCGAAGCTGACGGCATTGGGCAGCTGCAGGCAAAGTGATTTCAGCGGGAACAGTTTTGTAACTGTACGCGCCGCACGGTTGGGAATGAATTTGAATAAGGGAATGTACCCCTTAGAGTACATGGCTAGCTAGGTCGTTTCATCTTCCCTGTACTCATATTTATATTTGCTGTATTCGCATGTTTTAAAGTTAGCAGCTAAAATAGTGACCCCCCCCCTCCTAGTTGGGTCCATGAAAGTTGAAGTGCTTTTCTTTATTTTTTTTCCAAGCACATATGATGCTGATCGAGTTTCCAAACTTCAACTCAAACAAAATCGTCGCAAGCATGTGCAAATGCGTCGCTCAAAACATTGCGATGCGCAAGTCTCATTCATATCCAATGCCAAATTCGGATTGTGAAGCACGTCCAACTCATACAAAGCAAGCCCAACGCACGCAAAGCAAATGCCTTAGACATGGGCCTGCAAGGGAGGCGATAACAACATGGGAAAAACAAGAAGCGAAAAAAACAGAGAATTTCAGGGCACGAGAGAAGAGACACTTAGTGCAGCAGAAACGAGGACGCGGGAAAAGAGATGCGTGAGTAAAATCTGCGGAATGGTAGGGAGATGGGAGGGGCATGGGGGAGGGTCAGATGAGGTGGAGCGAGGGCGACGGAAAGGGAGGGGAGAGAGCAAGGGAGACGGATAGGGTGGGAAGAGAGCGAGGGCAATGGAAAGGGAGGGGGAGAACGCGAGGGCGACGGGAACAGAGGGGAGAGAGCACGGGCGACGGAAATGGAGGGGAGAGACCAAGGGCGGTGGAAAAGGAGGGGAGAGAGCAAGGGAACGGGAACAAGGACCTGAAGGGATCGACGGGAGGGGAGGTAAATCTGTACGAAATTAGGGTCCCTATTGTTATAATAAGTAAACATAGAAGAACTAGTTGGCTGCATAAGTATTTAGCGTCAGGTGATTAACCCCGCCCCCGCCAGCAGCTAAAATTATCGTCACTTAATACTTTGAGCTTCAGGAAAGGGGGATAGCAGGGTCGATATTACTACGAGACGACAGAAAATTTCGCGAGGCGACGGGAGAGAGCACGGGCGACGGGAGAGAGCGTGGGGGACGGGACAGAGCGAGGGCGACGTGAGAGATAGAGGGCGACGGGAGAGAGGGCGACGGGGGAGACGGGACAGAGCAAAAGAGAGAGCGAGGGCGATGGGAGAGAGGGCGATGGGAGAGAGGGCGACGGGAGAGAGGGCGACGGGACAGAGCGAAGGAGAGAGCAAGGGCGATGGGAGAGAGGGCGACGGGAGAGAGGGCGACGGGAAGGGAGCGGAGAGAGAGAGAGAGCGCGATGGGAGGGGAGGGGGGAGAGAGAGGGCGACGGGAGAGAGGGCGACGGGAAGGGAGCGGAGAGAGAGAGCGCGATGGGAAGGGAGGGGGGAGAGAGAGCGCGATGGGAGGGGAGGGGGGAGAGAGAGGGCGACGGGAGAGAGGGCGACGGGAAGGGAGCGGAGAGAGAGAGCGCGATGGGAAGGGAGGGGGGAGAGAGAGCGCGATGGGAAGGGAGGGGACGGGAAGAGCGCGGATAGAGAGAGCGCGGATAGAGAGAGCGCGACGGGAAGAGAGGGGCGAGAGAGAGGGCGACGAAAGGGCATTTCGGCGGCGAGCGCGTTCAGCCGAATAATCTCGAGGCAAGTGTCGCTACGCGGCGCGTAAGATTCCTCGCCACTAGGCCACGAATAGAAGGATGAGGATTAAATTTATAAAAATGGTGGTTGCCTAGGAAAAAATGCCTACGTTTTCAGCTATTCTAAGCTTGGCTAAACTAGAGACTAGAGCGAAAAGAAGTAGTGGAACACAGGTCCAGCTTGAAGTTGGAGTTGGACCCAACGATCGCATGATCGCCGTGCAGCCGTCGTGCGGGTGCATCATGTTGAAGGCGACTCCTTGTGTAAGGCCCAAAAAATTCGTTTTTGGCGGGAGCCAATCAAATGGCTTCGATTTGCACACACGAAATGTTTGAAACAGTGCTTTGCAAACCCACTCTGGAAGACCCTTTCAAGCTGGGACGTGGTTCACTATTCCATATTTCGGTTTTAATCATCTCAAAGCATTTTACATTCACTCTGCTATTGAGGTCAAGGGCAGGGCACTAGATATCAGACTTTGGAGTCTGATTCAGAGTCCGTTCAGACTTTTTTTTTGCACCTAGTTTGAACTCAAATATATTTTTTTATGCACCCTGTCTGATTTTTCAGAGTTTTTTTAACTGACTAGTATGAAATTTCAGGGTAGTCATTGTAGTGTAGGCTGAGCCTTAGACTTGTATCAGGGGTCCACTCTGAAACCAGTTATACAGGGGTTTCCGCCAGCCTGAATGAATGGTTATCGGAACTGAACTTCCTCGAAACTTCTTTTCGATACACCCACGTGTGTACGGGCCAGCACTAACGATCTCCTCCGGATAAAACTGCTCGAGTAGGGGCACCAGAATACACTACTTTGTCAACGCTATCACGAGTGTCGGATTTATTGGGGGCTTATAAAAACCCTTAAATTGTGAAACTAGGTAGCCAACCGCACATGGCCAAAACGATTTTAGCGAACCGCACATGGCGAAAAGCGAATTGGTGCAAACAAAAGCCTTGTCACATATCAGTCTCGTACTACAGCAGAACCGCACATCATTTCCCCTTGCCAAACCGAGTCAAAATTTCGAAGTTGCAACTTTAGGAGAAAATATTCCGCGCACATACGGTGTACACGGTTGAAAACTCTTACTGCTGCCAGCGCGCCCAACACAGAAAAGTGCCGAGCGATACCGTGCCAGCTGCCAGATCAGCTGATTGTGAGCTTCCCACACTTGGCACTTGCACAAGGCCATAGTCTGATGCCCACACCTCGACCCTGGCTGCTCAGTGTTCCTAACTCTTGAAAAATGACCAATCAGAGTGCCCCATTTCTGGCCGCACAATTGCGTTGGTATGCTGTAATGTGAAGATAGGAAAACAGGAATGAATGAACTATGAATGAAAGTAGTACAAATATGAAACCCTAACTGGGTTGTACCCCCTATGGGATACCCCACTACAGCCTACACAGCAGTATAAGCTATAGATATGTTCTGACACACCCCCATAGGCAAAGTGGGGGAGAACAAGGGGTCACAAGACCAGTCAAGCAAGACAAAGCAAAGCTCAGGGTGGATCACAAAGTCACCACACAGTCCGAGCACAAGAGCAAGGCCAAAGGCCAGTTCACAAGCAAGAGTACAGACATATATATAAAGCTAGACAAGCAAGAGCAGGTATATATATATGTCACAGTACAAGTGAAGTCAAGAGGAGAGCAAGTGAGGCAAGACAGGCACAAGACCCAGCTGGGTGCAGAAGCGCTGATGGTCACAAGGCGCAAGTGCCTTGGTGAACACATCAGCAGTGTTGGCCTCAGAGGCCACGTACGCAAGTCGCAACTGACCACGCTGCTGCAGCTCACGAGCAAGGAAGTAGCGGAGAGCAATGTGCTTCGTTCTGTGCTCCAAGCGCTGCTCTCGACACAAGGCCAGCATAGCCTTGTTGTCTACGTACAGCACTGGAGGAGAACGAGGCGGCTCTCCAAGGTCAGTCAGCAGGTAGGTGAGCCAGCGAAGCTCCTGTGCAGCCATGGCCCCGGCGTAGATCTCAGCCTCACAACTGGAGCCGAGAACCGAAGACGAGCGAGTAGACCGCCACGAGACAGAGCCGGAACCAAGGCTGAAGGTGTAACCCTGTGACGACCGCTGCGTAGCCTGGTCGTCAGCCCAAGAAGCGTCCGCGTGGCCGGTAAGGACCACTGGACTCCGCCCTCCAAGCACTAGCCCCATGCCTGACGTACTGCACAGGTAGCGCAATACCCTCTTCGCTGCAGCCATGTGCTCCGGTCTGTGTCTCCCAGGAGCAACATAGCGTGCAAGAATGCTCAGAGGGTATGCAAGGTCAGGTCGTGTGCAGGTCATCAGGTACATGAGGCAGCCAACAAGCTCCGCATACGGACCACTCGACTCTACGGACTCATCCGAAGGCAGAGCTGAGAGTGAGTGGCGAGTAGGCAGAGGAGTGGCCTGAGGCGAGGAGTACGTGAAGCCGAAGCGCTGAAGGACCTGCTGCACCATGTGTGACTGAGTCAAGGTAATGGTGCGGCGTGCTCTGTCCCGAGTGATCTGCAAGCCAAGGTAGCTGCGCAGTTCACCCAGGTCTGTGCACGTGTGTCTCTTCAACAGCTCGGACTTCACGTAGGCGAGTCCAGCAGTGTCCGCTGTGGCAAAGACCAGGTCGTCGACGTACACGAGGATGTAGAACGGCGGCAGGGAAGTGTCGGTGCGAAGAAACAGCGACGGGTCAGCAGTAGAAGGAGCAAACCCAAGAGCCGCAAGCGTAGTCCTCAGTGTGTCGTGCCACTCACGCGGTGCCTGGCGGAGACCGTAGACTGGCCGTCGGAGGCTCCACTGGGTGCCAGGAGGGAAAGTCCCAGTGAAGCCAGGTGGACGGCGAAGCCAGATCTCCTCGTGCAGGCTACCCTGTAAGAACGCAGTGCTGAAGTCGAGAGAGTGAAGCTCGTAGTCGCGCTGAGCGGCTATGTGCAGCAGCACCCGAAGAGTAGTCATCTTCGGGGTGGGAGAGAAGGTCTGAAAGTAGTCAACTCCCTGCCGCTGACTGAAGCCACGAGCAACGTACCGTGCCTTGAAGACAGGTGGAGAGCCTGGCGGCCGCTTCACCCTGAAGATCCACATGCCACTGACGATGTTCGCCCCAGGAGGGGGAACCGCGTCAACGTAGGTGCCTGTGGACTTCCAGGAAGCCATCTCTGCATCCATAGCTGCCTGCCACTGAGAGGAGTAGGGACCCTCTACGGCCTCCGCGTAAGAACGCGGAGTCGGGATGTCTAGTGCATCCGGGTCTCCCTCAGGGGCAAGCAGTACAGACGCGAGATGAGGTGAAGCAGCCGCTAGACACTGTAACTCCTCCTGCCTGTCCTCTAGGACGTCCGTGCCAAGAGCACACTCACCCCCGACGGACGGAGGACAGACAGACGCAGACTCAGCAACAAGACTAGCAGCGTAGTCGAGACGACAGCGAGCAGCAAAGTCGACGAGCTCAGCGACTAGAGCAGACGCAGCAGTGGACTCAAAAGAGGGGTCAGTGACGACAGTAGCAAGCAGACGCGTGACAGTGGGACTGGCAGCACGAAGAGAGTCCGACTCAGGGTCCGCAAGCGCAGGAAGAGAGGACTCAGGAGGAGAAGGCAAAGGGGCACGCAGAGGAGCAGTGGACGGACGTAAAGACATCCGGTGCGTGCCAGGGACAGGAGGAGGACGCTGACGCGAACTGCGACCACTAGCGCGAGCAGCACGAACAGGCGACGCGGGACGAGACGCAGGCTCACGACGCTCAGCAAGACCTCCAGTAGGACCAGTGTAAGGAGAGGGAGCAGGCAGTGGAGAGGAAGGCTCCAGCAGGGACTGCGACTGGACAGGCGGTGGACCCTGTACTGGAGGAGAAAGACCAAGAACCTGCTGAAGGAGCGGAACGAAGTACGGCCGAGGCCGCGCGGTAGCTCCAGACTCAGCAGGGACAGCACCAGCACCCTCAGCGACAGCACCAGCGCCACCCACACCTCCAGCGGCAGGACCAACAGCAGCAGGCTCAGCACGAACGCCCTCAGCAGCTCCAGCTCCAGGAGGACCTGCAGGGCCAGCAGCTCCGGGACCGGCTGCACCCGCACCCTCGACGGTCGAAGAAGCTCCAGCTCCAGCTCCAGCAGCACCTCCAGACTCAGCAGCACGCCTCCAGCGGCGAGCGAACCACTCGCGCAGCTCCTGTGGAGAGAGGGGCTCCCGGCGAGACGCAGCAGCAGGAGAAACCCCAGGCTCAGCAGCTCCAGACGCAGCACCCCCAGGCTCAGCAGCTCCCAGCTCAGCACCCCCAGGCTCAGCAGCTCCCGACCCAGCACCCCCAGACCCAGTACCTCCAGGCACAGCACCCCCCGGCTCAGCACCCCCAGGCTCCGCACCCTCCGCAGTAGCACCCTCAGGCCCAGCACCCCCAGCAGTAGCACCCCCAGGCTCAGCACCCCCGCGCACAGCACCCCCAGAGTCAGCACCCCCAGGCTCAGCACCCGCAGCAGCACCAGAGTCACCAGTAACCTCGACCGGGTCAACGGCGTCTACCTGGGACACACCTGAGGGGGCAGGTACCTGAGGGGGGAGGGGGTCTACCGGGGGGGGAACCGGCACAAGGAAGTCCGGGGGAGGGGGGAGGGAAGGAGTGCGGTAGGGGAAGAGACGGTAGAAGGGGACTGACTCGTCGAACGTGACGTCCTGGGAGGACAGAACACGACGAGAGGAGGGGTGGTAAAACTGCCACCCTGGGGCGTCAGTGGGGAAGCCAAGGAAGACACAGGGAGCAGCACGGGGGGACAGCTTGTCTGCAGACAAGTCGCGGACAAACGCCCGAGATCCCCAGACACGGAACACAGACGCATCGCCAACCTTCCCTGTCCACAGCAAGACTGGGGACATCGCAGGCCGAGAGACCCGGGGGTGAAGGTTGAGCTGATGCGCCGCGTACCTCACAGCAAACGGCCACAGAAAATGGGGGGCAGCCGCATGCATCATGGA